TCATGCCGGTTTGACCTAATTCTGTAGTATTCCATTTCTTTTTACCAACAGTACCCGACCGAGGGACCTGCAATATTGCTTAGTTGCAAATTCGTGATCCATACTTACCGACCTTCGGACTTTTTACATTCTATGGCACAGAAACCTCCTAATGTTACTTTCGATACTTAAGTATAAATTTACAGTATATGCCTAATATACTAATAATCGATAAAAATTACCAAAATATACAATTGTGAGTTTTAATATTTTGTATTTGGACATTAACTATCCAATAGTCGTTGAAAAAAGGCTACTAAAATTCGTAAAAAGTTGTAAAACCATTTAGTCCAATTTAAACGGTTACTTTTCATTTCTCTAAAGACATTTGTGCGTAATGTACATTAATGATTGATATTATGTTAATGTAGTGTAATAAATTGTCTCAAAACAATGCACTTACAAATTTTTGATTTTTCAAAACCGGTAAACCTCTAAACGCTCTCTGATAATATAAAATAATTGAAAATTCAAATTCACCTGTACATATAATAATTGTCAACAGTTCTACTACCTACTTTAGAAAACTTAACTAAATAACAGTTCAATTATTTTTTATTCATACAGGCGGTGTACGCTATTGATGGTACGACACGTTCTAAATTAGTCATTATTTCTACTGTTTCTGGATAATATTTTAATGTTTTCATAATGTCTGGCCTAAAAAAATTCATAGAGAATTTGGGCCTTTAAACTATTTTTTGAATTCATTATTTAGTTCTATTTTGAACGTTGAACGTACAACATATCTCTTATTAGATAACAGCGTACTGCTTTTTCGGTAACACTTCTTTCGGTTATAGTCCACTGATATTAGTAAAAATAAAGGTCAAACTACGGAATAATTCAAACAAAAGGTGTTATTGGTTTTTTAGATATACTTTGGTGTCCTGAATAATGTCTCAAAAGTCCCCTACTCAGGAGTGTACGCATAACAATTGGCAACACTGTAAAGATGCTACAAAATGGTTATTCGTGATTTTCTCGGTTCCTATTGATTTTACGACAAAAATACATCTAATCAAAAAGAAAGATGAGATAGTTTTACATAAAAAAGGTTTCATAAGTTTTTTCATTTGGAGCAATATGTTTCATGATTAACTTCAATCGAAATTTATAAAAATAAAAAAATAAAAAATTTACCCAAAAAAAACGTCCTAGGTCCACCACAAAGTGAGTCCTTGTTGAATTCATAATTTTTATGTTCAAAATTACGATTAAGATAATACATTTCTTAAGTTTTATACGAACTGTACTTTTATTGCATGCAAAAAATACAATCGATGACGATTAATATGAATTTCAAATTAGTTGAAATTAGTTTATGAACGTTTTTTTTAACCACAAATACATTAATTGAATTTACTTTGAAATATTAATTTTTTTTATGTTTTTAAAACAATTTTACAACTATATTAAAAACGAAAATTAAAAATGTACTTCGGTCATGACATCAATAAAGTATTGACAAGTCGATTCACCACTGTGATTTAAAAGGTGTTTTTCACTAAAACTTAACATTGAGCAAATATGTTTAAACATATATATTACCATAGAAAAAAAGGGATTTATTATGATATTTAATTTTTTTTTTCAACTTTTATAACGCATACAGTATCTGTTTTTGTAAAAAACAATTCATTCCACTTCAAACGTACTGTTCCTAAGAATACTCGGATTTAAGTTTAAAAAAAAATATTTGAACTCTTCACAATGTTTAAAAGTATTGACCTAGGCATAATTTTTCATTTATTATTGGTTAATACTTAATTAATTATTTTACTTTGAAAAATTAATTTTTTCTATGTTTTTAAAACAATCTTACAACTATATTAAAAATGTACTTCGGTCATGACATCAATAATATATTGGAAAATCGATATCTGTTCTCAAAATTATTGTCGGATTACGCGTTGCTGAGTTCTGATTGTGAATTAGAATGAGTTGTTTTCGACCAAAAATACTACAGGTACTGGGTAGAGTCGTAGAGAGGCCTCTTTAGAATATTAATACTATATTTGCCCAAAAATAATTAAGTTATAACGCAATTTAAATCAAACTTACCCAATATAATCTGTAAATATGCGTATACGGTATAGTCTGTGAGTAATAAAAAAAATAATGCAACGCTCATATAAAGTCGGTAACAACTAACGAAAAAGTCCACTTTCGATGTAAGATTGTCGATAATTCATCAGCATTCGGCACGACAAATACATATATAATAACGGCATAACGCTGCTTCTGGAAAGTAATATTGCTTATCTTTATTTCAATGGTTTTGTTTGACGTCAATGAATCATAAAATGTCGGTATCTTTTTACATTGCAATCGGGCACTCGGTATTACCCAGAGCCCTAGTATAATGTATATTGTATATTTACTATAATATAGTTGACAATAATATTGTAAACATATTTTAATCAACTCTGTTCTGTACACAACACACAACATGTACCAAAATCCAAAATATTTATTGGCTACCACGCGGCCATAGACTACGGCGCCACTGCAGCACAGTATAAACTATAAACCAGCAGTAAGGAATTTGTAAACGTGAGCAAATAAGAGAGGTCCAATGTGTTCCAGAGAAAAATACAAATATCGATCAAATCATTTCACCTAATGACAATTATGTGCTTGAAAACTGTTTTTTAGTATTAAGGTGGATACGATTATCGGGGTTCATCGTCTGTCTAGCTCACCCCTATCTCCCTCTCTATCTCCCACCCCTCAGCCCTACCCCCTATCTCCCACCCCTTTCTCATATCTCATATCAGATAACAGCGTAACACTTTTTGACATTTTCATGTCTTAGCTCTGGCACATAACCGAAAAAAGCGTTACCATAAAAGCGTTACCAAAAGAGCGTTGCCAAAAGATCGTAACGAAAAAAGGTGGGTATGGGAACGGGGTGGAATTAGCTATGGCAAATAACCGAAAAAAAAAGTTACCAAAAGAGTGTTACCACACGAAGATGGGTTGGAGGTGGAAATAGGGGTAGGAGATAAGGGGTGAGGGTGGGATAGGGTTGGGGTCGAGGACAGGAGATAGGGGTGAGTGATAGGGGTGGGATATAGGGGTAGGGGATAGGGGTGAGTGATAGGGGTAAGATAAAGGAGATAAGAGATATGATGTACGTTCAACGTTCAAATTAGAACTAAATAATAAATTCAAAACAGTTTAATTCTCTATATATTAAACTATGTAAAGTTACTTTTGGCCAGATAATAAACACTACAATTTTAGCCAGAAACATGATTGTACATAATTTTTTAATCTCCTTGGCTTATGCTGTAACTGGAAGCTCCATGTAATTTTTTTTTTTTAATTATAATTCCACAACTAATCTATATTTATTCGGTACTTCAACGGGACATGAAAATGCTCTTTCGTGGTTGCAGACTCGGCTGAAAAACTTTTTGGTAACACTTTTTGACATTTTCACGTCTTAGCTCTGGCACATAACCCTGGCAAATAACTGAAAAAAGCGTTACCTAAAAAGCGTTACGAAAAATGCGTTACCACACGGAGATGGGGTTGGGGTGGGAATGGGGAAGGGATGGGGTTTTGGTAGAAGATAGGGGTAGGAGATATGAGATATGGGGCGAAATATATTTGGTACTTCAACGAGACATGAAAATGCCCTTTCGTGGTTGCATACTTGGCTGAAAAACTTTTTTCGTTATGTTTTTTTCGGTTATTTGCCACAGCTAATTCCACCCCAACCCCATTCTCACCCCCAACATTATCTTCATCCCCATTTCTTTTTTCGTTACGCTTTTTTCGGTTATGTGCCAGAGCTAAGACTTAAAAATGTCAATACTTCAATTATTTTAGAGTTAACTACGATCTATGGCAATACATTTTTATAGATAGACAATGAACCCTAATCGTATCCGCCTTAATACTAACAATTAATTTTTAAGCACATTATTGTCATAACTGTCATATTATAATCAAATGTATCCGTATGACTTAGGGGTAGAAAATGTTTACTTAAATAAGCTTTTTTAGGTGAAGTTTTAGGATCTATGATCTGAAAATCAAACCGAAGGTAGATCTAAAACGAAACCATATCTATAAATATTGTGTGTTAACTATCTGTAGTAAAAATGTATTTTGAAAAATAAAAAAAATAAAAAAATGGGAAAATTAGACTTTGGCCATAGTCAATTTCTAGGTTGCTGTGTATAACAGTTGTTTGATGATATTGGGGTAAATGCCTCATTTATTTAATGGATGAAGTAGGGGGTTGATCTGTACTTAGTGTAAGACTTAGTATAAGGGCATACTACAGGGTTAAATATGAACAATATTTTTATGTTTTAAGTGAATTTTTTTTTTGGGTGGTGTAAAATATGTTTTTGCCGGATGATATTGCATGGTTCGGCGTCACTGATCCTAATGTGTATACATAATATATTTTGGTATAATTAAAATGTATTTACTCCTTAAAAAAAAAAAAAAAGATTGTTGACTTGAGACTTGAGCATGGTCGCAGAATTTGAAGGACTTGGAATTCTGGAAACCTTAATACTTTAAGTAAAATAAGTGCTACATTTATTTTTACTTTCGACAAATCTCTCACTAAGAAAAAAAATGTAAGTATTTTGAAAAGCACTAATTTTAAGTTTTGAGGTTTTTAGTATCTCAAGCCGTTATAAGAATAATAATTGAAGTTCTAATTTAGAAAATATTATACTTGTACTTGACTTCTTCTGGAAACCCAAAATACAAATTTGTAAATCCTTTATTACGTCCCTACATTGTGTTTTATACATTAATCTAGCAACTATGAATTTATGTGTACTATCCGCATCGACAATTATTAAAAATATATACTTGTCAAAATAAAAAGATCAATGTGAATTCTCTCGAATGACAGCTCGACTTCCTACAATTATGATACCACACTTTCTTTGGGAACTTTTTGAGTTTTATTTAAATAAAATCATCAATCAGTTAATAAAACCATATTTTTTATTGGGGAACCTAAAAACATCAAACAACATTTTTTTTTATGATACACAGAAAGCCAATTTGTACATTTCGTTATGAAATGTGATAATTATAAATAAATTAATAATAACAATAAATTAACATAACATTTTTCAACGGTTCATTTCAGAAATCCTTTGTACGGCCATTTCTCTCAACTTGAACTTCTGCACTTTACCTGATCCTGTTTTCGGGAATGATTTTTCGATGAATATGTGCTTAGGAATTTTAAAGTGAGATATCTAATAAATAGAAACGGGCATTAATTACAATTTAACAACCCGGTTAATAATAACATCAGACCGACCTTTCCTTTGGCGTATAGTTTTATGTCTTCTTCTTTGACTGTCATTCCATCCTTTAAGATTATACTGGCGCATATTTCTTCACCCATACGGTCGTCCGGTATGCCATAAACCTAAGAAATTCGTTTAAAAAATAGCTTGAGTAATCATTTGTAATTATAATTGATAAAATTCAAATCATGTATGTTTATTTACATAAAAAAAAAAAACTAAGACTATTATTAATAGGGTAAATTCCTCCTATCTTAACCCTAAGACCACTCTATTCTTCCTTAAAGGAAAATATCCAATAGACAGTAATACCGGGTACTGCTTTCCTTTTGCTATCTCATTTTAATTGCCTCTTACAAGCCTCAGAGAGCAATTACTTGAACTCAAATAGTGACTGATGGCATTTAGTTGACCTCTGAGTATTTATAGCCTTCTACCATTAACATTAATGTTGCCTTAGTATTAACCAGATACCAGCCGAGTAAATAAACATGACAATAGGGTATATCAAGTCACCTGAGCTTGGGTAATTGAAGGGTGAGTTTCCAAAAAATATTCAATTTCTTTTGGGAATATATTTTCACCACCGCGTATGATCATTTCTTTTAAGCGCCCAGCATGATTACCGTATCCATCCTCGTACAAAACAAACTGGTCTCTTTTGGGGAAAAAAACAAAACGAATTTATATGTAAAGTATGCTTGAACTTTGGTGTAATATACAGTGTTCAACTTACCCCGTGTGTAACCATCCGGATGAATCTATGGTTTCCTTCGTTTTTTCCGGGTCGTTATAATAACCTGTCATGTTGACGTATCCGCGAATCAATAACTCTCCAGGTGTTCCAAAAGGGACCATGTGCCCTTGACTGTCGACCACTTTGGCCTGAATAGATTTTAAAACGCAGATAAACATTAAGGGGAAATTATGAAATTTAGGAGACCGGTATATATGTATTGCTAACCTCCACGTGATCTAGTACAAATCCAACTGTATTCAACAATTTATCTTCAGAGTCGTGTGGAAAGTTTTGAAACGTGCAGGGACTAGTTTCAGTCATTCCAAACACGGACTAAAGCGTAACAAAGATAAATATGTAGTTGGAAAGTTCTAAAAGATAAACTATAAAAATGATTTAACAATAACCATCAACTTTGCTCGAGGAAACAGACGTTTAAATTTCTTCATTAAATCAGGCGAACATGGAGCACCGCCGGTAATAGCAAGCCGCAGGTCATTTTCCCTCTGGGCCTCTGGAAGGGTTTCGAAATACGAACTAACATCAACAAAAAATGTGGGTGTTCCAAAAAACAATGTTGCCCTAAACATATAAAACAAATTGGATGCAAACTTATCAATTAGAGCAAACATTCAGGAATCGAAAGGAATATGACTGAATTTGTAAAATTAGGTTAAGTTACAGCTATGTAAGCTAATAATATATAAAATCTTAAATTCTAAATTTCTTTCGACACTAATCAATGAGCATCGTTGTAACTCACTTGTTATTTATTATCACGTCAACTGTAGTTTTTAAGTCGTAATTTGCAGAAGGTAAGATGCATGCAGATTTGGTAAGCATAGCTCCAAGTGTCCCAGCTGATAGTCCAAAAGCATGAAATAATGGCATAGAACAACAGAACTTGTGCGCTGTATTCTAGTGGTAAATAAAATTAAAAATAAACTAGATCATTTTTTTCAATAAAAGTAAAACATTCAATCGTTAATATATTTTCAGCCTTACGTCACTTTGGCAGCATTTAACCACATGATTATTGGTTATAATACAATACAATAGATTGAGATCTTTTTTCCTTCCCTTACTTTCTCTTCTCCTAGTCAAAGTAATGTATAAAACTATAGAAGTAACACTATGGTAGGGGCGGCTACCCCCCCCCCCTCCCTTGGCTATATTATAGTATATTTTGCTTATTTTAGTTTTGGGGCCAAGCTTTTGTTTTTTATTGTTCATAAATTAATTTTATATAATATAACAAATAAGATTAATTAAATTGTGTAATAATACTACCCAAAGTGTTGTTCGGATAATGGGAGAAATTTCAGAGCCTTTTATAGTTAAAAATGGCCTTAGATAAGGAGACGCCCTCTCACCGGTATTATTTAACCTTGCATTAGAAGAAATCATAAGGAGTTTACCTAGAGGACCAAGAATGGAAGTAAATGAGAGGTATACCTGCCTAGCTTATGCAGATGACATGGTTCTCCTTGGAGATATTATTGGTCTAATGAATGCGAGTAAGCGAATGGGACTTAATCAAGACAAAACCAAATACATGTTTCTGTCGAGGAAGACGAAAAACGAAGAGGACATGAAAGACTTGGAAGTTTACGATCTTACCTTTCAACAAGTTAGCTCTTTTAAATATCTAGGCGTCAATGAAAACAGTACAAATTGTATGCACGAGGAAATTAAGCTACGCCTAAAGTCTGCTAACAAAGCGCACTTCGCTATGGTATCAATGTTCAAGTCTAGGTTACTAGGGTAGAAAGACCAAAAAGAGAGTCTGTATACAATTTATTTAAGACCAATTGCTACTTATGGATGCAACACATGGGCCACAACAGCAGGCGATTACAATAAACTTATCATCTTTGAGAGGAAAATTTTAAGAAAAATGTATAGCCCCGTTTTCGACGACAATGAGCAAAGATGGTTAAGGAGATCAAATGAAGAATTGAAGATTATGTAAACGAAAGAGGATATAGTGCAGTTTGTAAGAAGTTCAGCACTTGCGTGGGCTGGTCATGCATGGAGGGCTGATGGTTCCCTTACAAAGATGGTTATGGTAAATCAAATGGATCGGAAAAGACCCAGGGGACGTCCAAGACAAAGATGGCTTGATGTTGTTAAAGAAAGATCTGGAGAAGTTAAAACCGGACTTGAACGGAAACTTGGATCTAGCTTATCCTATCCTCTCCCTTCCATTTTGGCCTGCTCCTACCTTCCCTCATATCCTTTCTCTAGATATCTAATCTCTTATTTATAATCACTTAACTATACCTCTAATTTCCTACCTCTCTTCTCGTTTCTCTTTTCACACAGTTACATATTTTGTGACGTGACGCAAATTATGAAATAAACCCAAGCCCAAAAACTAATCCATGTTAAAACATTTTTACTACAGCTCAATTGATTGAGGTGAATATAAACAAACCTGATCGTCGAGAATTCCTAGACGTTTCATTATGTACCGTGCATTGTTTAAAAGACCAAAATGATTTAGTAACGCCGCTTTTGGCTTACCAGTAGTGCCCTGGTAAAATAAAAAAAATGATCAATCATTAATTGACATTAGTATGTCTTATGTTTGGGGGTTAAAAAAAAAATTGTGTAACGAAAAAAAAGCCACGTTTTTTGGTACACTTCCCATGGGGGTTAGAAACTTGATTTTTGAACCATGGCCGTTAAAATTCATACCCCTTCATCCCTTAGGATAAAGCCATAAGGCATTGGCCTGCCATTAAGCAATAATAATGACCTTATATTTTTTTCCAAAAGGGTAAGATTAGATTTTTCAAATTTATGTTTATACTTGGGTATTACCGCCAACAAACATTAGTCGGGTTTGGTTAAGTTAAGAAAGGACAGCGTGGGCTAAAAAAAGGTTAGGTTTGATGAATATTGTCAATTTCTACCGATGTAAATTGTATGTTGCATCCTTCGTCGGGTTGCACGTTAGGAACTTTATATTCTTTACCGGCTCCGAGATCTAAAAAAGATTGTAAATTGTAAGCACCCCTAAAAAAATACACATTCATTTAGACTTTTTAAACATAACGTCAGTGTGTGATTCGGGGTAAACGTTTTACCAACCTCATGGTGTTTTCTGTATTAAAAATGACCGTCTCGAGTGTGGGCAATTGTTTAGACACGACACGAGTGTTCGGTGGACGGTTCCAAATGTTCGGATCAATCTTTTCTATGATAGCAGGATAATTTTGCGACTTAAACGATTCAAAAGTCATTAGACATTTCACTCCAACCAACTGCAGACTGTGTTGCAGTTCGTCACTTTGATAAGCAGGATTTATATTAACCTAAACGACAACACACATCGATCAAGTGTTCGCATGTAGAACCTTACAGAGTCGTCAACTGCCTGCTCAAAATTCATTAAAATATTTTCTCACCAAAACTAAACCCAAACGAGCCGCAGCTATGATAACGGATACATAAAGTGCACAATTGGGCATCCACACTGCTATGCGGTCTCCATAGTTCAGTCCAACCGCGCTAAAACTCCGGCACAGCATGTCTACCTAAATGCCAATAAAAGTTCATTTTTTAAGTTATTTAAACTCAGCAAAACTCGCTAAATGTAACACTGAAGTAATGCATTTTTAAATGGATACACGCATAAAGTATGCTATACTGAACATTTTAAGAGCTTCAACCGTCTTTGAGTTGGTTAGTTCTCTGAAAAATGGGGGGTTTTTTTTGTTGATGATATTTCGAGCTGTGCGATTTAATGATTTCCCTTTGGATAATTTAGATTCAAATAATTTGTTTTACGATAAAGCCTAAATTGCTAATATTCCTTATTGCTACTTGCTAACCTCTGCGTGCATGTCGGCATATGTGAGTGTTTTGTTCTCTTGTCTGCTAATTAGGTACTCGCGATCCGGTGCTTCTTTGACGACATCTTCAAAAGCTCCACCAATGGTGTGTGGTAACAGAGGGTCATTTGAAGCTCCATAACAGTAACTGAGCTTGGACCAATGATGACTTTTCCTCGTCCGAAATTGTAGTCTGAAAACCCATCAATATAATATCAAATAAAATATGTTTTCCTGCTGAGAAAAGGATCCATAAGATGTTAGTTCCTAGTATACATCAAATAGATTTTCATCGAAACCTCAAAAACGATAATTTCAATCAGTTCTGTAACCTAACCTAACCTATAATATTCGGTGGGTAGGGATAGGGATGGCGATAGGGAGTGACAAAATGAAATAGAACCTATCATTACTGAATAAAATTGCCTTTTAATTCATGAACAAAAATAAATATGCATAAAAAAAAACATCCATCAGTCTTAATGTAAATAGGTAATTAAAGAATTTTGATTTAAAACTTTTAGAACTAAAAAAAAACTACAATTGCATACAAACAAACATCATAATCTTTCTTTAAGTAAATAATAAAATAATAATTAAAACCCTTAACCATAAAAAATTATATATTCTCCGCGTATACGACGTATGTATTTCGGCAACAATGTTGTCATCTTCAGCGTTAATTGTATACAATAATAAAGCGGTATAACATTTAAAAAAAAACTTATACTAATAATCAAAATCGGGGTCGTTTGTCAAATGCGCAACTAATTTTGGTTACTATATTAATTTACCTAAATTGATTGGTCGATTTCAATTTGCCGCTTTTTATATGTTTATCATTGTTTCACACCCGGGCTATTCTATTTGGTTGAATTGATATAAAAAGCGAGCGTATAATAAGTAAACATAACCAGTTACCGGGTTACCAGTAACCGCAGTTATTTTTATTAATAATTATACAACCGAAAAAGAAAATACCGTATTTTTACATCTCTGATTACACCTGAACATACTTAACACGCCTTCTTCTGTCAGCAGTTATAAATGTAAATGTAAGACTATCTTAAAGTAAATATTTTATACAAAAACTAATTATTTGTCCCAACCTTTGCCCTCATGGTCAGCTTCCATGAGTTTTTATTGAGGCTAGGGAGTGACAAATCAGCTCTTTTTTTATCTGTCCTAGACAAGAGTAGGTTAAAAATACTGCAAAATGGTAATAAGCTATATAGTGAGGTTTAGAAATGCTACAAGACTAAGCAACGTGCAAAAAAATACGACTTACCTGTTTGATATTAAAGAGGTCTAGGGAGTGACCATTAATAAAAATACTGCGAATATTTTTCAATGTTATTCAAGTGCTAGAAGTAACTAATAAGGTTATAGAACAAAACAAAGTGGCCCGCGTTTTCCGTTTATTTTGACAGTGTCGCCACACTAATTTTAGCGCGAAATTTGTTTTTCTGAAGATTTGGCGGGAATTTAAAAAACGGACTAGGGAGTGACACCAACCCGCGTGACAGAGGTAAAACATGCTGTCATAACTGATCTGTTTCGTCTAGAGTTCCAATTTATTTAAATCCATTACACGAAAGGTTGCTAAGGATAATGGTACCCAATTTTTAAAAGTGTAGTGAAATAAACAGCTGCTGTTAATTTGTTAAGGCAGAACCTTGGCTTTGTGACAGGGCTAGGGAGTGACAATATCAGCGTTACTTTTTTTTAATTGGGTACCCGTGTATTCTGGACACCTCGAAATGAGTATGAAATGTTGTTCACGAGTAGACTAACAAAAGAAGAAAAAAAATCTATGTTATTCAGCCATTCGATTTTTGTAAATCACTCTGTGACCGAAATGTCACCGAAATTTGAGAATGACCCATACAGCTTCGAATTTGAGTTTTTTATCTAGCCTTATAAACAATTGTACTATTATTTAACACTAGATAAACTTCTAGGAGTTCCTAAATTCTTTTCAAGATGCGTGAAATAGATTTCCATCGAAACCTCAAAAACGATCATTTCAATCAGATTATTTTTTCTTGAGTTCTGATGTAATTTTACTGAGCTTGCCTCAGATAACAGTATTCATTTTATACTCGGTTTATATTTAATGATAACATGTACATACTACGTTGTACTTATTGTATAAATTAAAATTATATTATCGGTTTTCATTGTTATTACTATTAATTCAAATTTTTCGACATTTGTATTGCTTGATATCAATCATTACTATTATAAGATAATATCTCTTAAAATAATTTCAATGTTTAATGTTCTTTTTGAAAACATTTTTGTTTATGTTATTTTACACTACATATTATTATAAAAATATATTATATTTACCTTTTTTTATATTTTCCAAAGCTTTATCAACTTTTGAAACTAAAATGAACACAAATTAATTTAACTTTTGACATTAAGAACGATGTGTGGTAAATGTTGACAGTCAAAACGTTCAGCAAATTTTTCTTTATTCAAAAGTAAATTGAATATATCTAACTACGAGTATTATAATGCTGCAGCTCTGGATAAAAATTTAAATATTGTAAAACAGCATAAACTTAAGTGTCTCGATATAAACAAAAGTACAAAATTCAAATTTTTCAACAGAAATCAAGTGTCTTATTCTTAACGAATGACTCTTTATTGTACTATTTTTTTTTAAAGGATTTCTTTTAAATTGTACAGGTTTTTGGGAGAGGGTCGAAAAGGTGGACTTAATAAACGTCTGTTACTATTAACTTTGTACTGTACATTAATACTGTAATCGCAAAAAAACCGCTTTCATTCACAACTTTATTCGATAATGTAGTTCTCGTTTATGCTTTTTACTCGGCCAGTCATGACCAGTCATGCCGGTTTGACCTAATTCTGTAGTATTCCATTTCTTTTTACCGAACCGAGGGACCTGCATTATTGTTTAGTTGCAAATTCATACTTACCGACCTTTAGACTTTTTTTTACATATTATAGCGCAGAACGGTCAATTATACAATTGTAAGTGTTTATATTTTGTGTTTGGACATTAACTGTCCAATATAGTCATTGAAAAAAGACAAAAACAATTATTTACAGTGGGTTACTTTTGATTTCCCTAAAGACATTTGTGCATTAATGTACATTAATGATTAATACTATGTTATTGTAGTGAAATAAATTGTCTCGAAATTGAGTATGTACTTACAATTTTTGATTTTTCAAAACCGGCAAACCTCTAAACGCTCTGATGTAAAGTAATGGAAAATTCATATTTACATGTACATATAATATTTGTCGACAGTTGTAACACTTGAGAAAACTAAACTAAATTAAACAGTTAATATTATTGTTATTTGTTTAGTACAGGCGTTGTACGCTATTGATGGTACAACACGTTCTATTTTAATCATTATTTCGACTCTTCTACAGAAAACTGTGAAAGTAAACTAGCGCTTATCTCTCCAAGGCAAGATTACCCAACACTTATATAATGATATAGTTCATTGTTGTTAATTATATCAAAGTCCACATACATATTTTTTTATCAATGTAAAATATTCAATAACAAACGGTACTTGCCATTGAAATTCTTACAACCGTTTTAACGCGTCTACTGGATATCAATTAAACAACTATAAAAAACAATCAGTTATTGTATACCTTTAGATTATACAATCGTTTAAACATGACTGTTGTTTCACTTTCACATTGCAATCTATAAATTAATTGTAAATGTAGTTTTGCACAAACTTGTTTTTACTCTTCGATTTCCTGAAATTTATTAACGTTGTCTTTGATTTTGAAATTGGTTTAAGAACAGATGCCTTTTCAACGGTTTCTGTCCATCGATCGGCGTTGTTGTTCATTATTTGATGGTTATTATAATAAATATAAAATAACCTTGAAGGACACTATTCTACAATACAGGTACAATACACACATAATGCCGTTTTGTCATTGACTATGAAAACAATGTTTAAGTGCAGATTTAATATAACTTTCGCGGTCAATGGACAATGCACAAGAAAACGGATCTAATAAAAAAAAAAAAACTGTGCATAAATACAAAATAAGAGCCTTTGTCGACCATTGCGTACAACTAATATTATGTGCTTAAGGAGACAATAGTTAGATTTATAAAATAAACCGACCAACAACCGTCGGTCTATTGTCTTGTCGAAAGACCAATAACTGCTAGAGATCAATAGATTATAAATGTAAAGAAAAAAAATCCTTGAAGTACACAGTGCACAGTGTCCCTCGGTTGTAATTTCAAAGATATTATATTATTATGTAAAACACAGGTAGTACTATTTCTAATAATAATTATTTATATAATTTATTTCTTGCAGTGAATACTTGACCTCAGTTTCATTATATGCGGATAATGCACCAGTTTTCTTTCCATTTCATACCTTCTTAATATTTTTTTTAGTATTTTGACTTTATAAAAAATTAATACTTATACGTCATAATAAGATATATTATTATATTAAATATGCCATTAGGTGAACATTTTTTTTGTTAATACACTGTTAAAAATACTAAACTTAAGAAAACTTCAACGGTTAAACTTTTACCAAACAAACCGACTCTACATTTTAGCGAATAGAAACGAATTTGTAATATTTATTCAAAACCATACACTGAGACATTATTTTTCTAACAATATTTGGGGAAAAAAGGCTTTATAGGATATACAATGTATTACTGAAAAGTATTTGGTATTTGGTTCAAACGCATTGTTTTGGCGCATAACAGTGTGCGTTGATGATGTAAACGTCATTTTACAATGTACCTACCCATTGTACAAGTGTAATATAATACCTAAGTATAAATCATAGTACTATACAATGTTATACAGTGTGTGTACTTGTAGCTGCCAAACATTGCATGCGTATCGAAGCATGGTTTCCGGTAATTGCATGATGTTTTAGGCCTTCGAGACAAAACGTATTGACAAAACAAAAACACACTCATTTAAAACACTTTTAACGTTTTCGACGAGTTTTTCCAAAATAAATCTCCCACAATGGGCGACGACTTGTGTTTTAGATTGGTAGCGTGGTACTAATAGCGATTCAATTAAAATTAAGATAACTTAAAAAAAATAATAATAATACATCAAGTCAAATTTTCCAAACATGGTCTTACAAACTTCCTAATCTATAGTGAAGTCACCGGTAAAGAAACCTGTCAGATCTTTCTCATTAGTGTACAGGGGAAAAGTGTCCACAGTGAGACTCCTATTATTCTTTTTCAAATAGTTAATTTAATTTTAATGGTATTTAAATGAAATACAGAAGGGTATATTCAGAATGTCATTGAGTATAAATTTACCTTGTATTTAGCTTTGATTTTATAAATGACAACATTTTATTAAAATAGTCAAACCGTCTCATTGTGTCCGTCCCGTGCACACATTAAGACATGACTTGGGACACTATGAGACATTATAAAAAGCTAATATGATAAATAAAAATACACACTACCAAAAACCTTTTTGAATACCTACTTTGAACAATTTTTATTTTTTATTTATTAATATAAACGCTATAAGGCCCAAGTACAGTGTATAATATTTAAGACAGACAGGTGAAATTAGAAGTAACATTTTTAAAGTATACTCGAATAAGAATGCTAAATAATTAATACTAAAACTTATATTAAACTTATTATTATTATTAATGTTTGATTAGTGATGGAAAAACCGGAGTCATTTTGGTCATAATTATATTGCAACATTATAAAATTCATATCTTAACAACAAATATAAAATTACATAAAAACTTCTTTTAATAACATTTCATATATTTTTCAATTATAAGACAAATGACAAACACTTATTTTTGCTTTGTCAAACTTAATCTCAATCTTTTGGATTAATTACTTAATATAGATTACAGCTGTTAATAGTTTAATTAATCATTATTAACACAGTGGGGCAGTGACATATTTGTCTCACTGTGTCTTGTCACGGTTGGTCCTGAAGTACTTTTATTTACAACAACTAACTTTGCATAATATGAAAAACTGTATTTAAAGTGTTTCACAGTGTACGCCTTTCGCCAATCTCATTACTTATGTAGCTTGCTTACACACGACATTCTGTACACGGTTTTCGATTAATTCCCATTAGTTTATTTACTAAGTAAATAGCTTATTATTTTTTAATAGTTTCAGTATGTTATTTTCCATTTAATCGCGTAATAATAGGTAATATAGTGAATATATATATATATGTATTTAATTTTTTAATCCTTTTAAGCGCAAACTAGTGATGAGCGTGTCCGGCCGGACATGGGCGGATTTATATTTGAGAAAATTATCATCAATCCTAACCTGATAGTGTGTGTGTGTGTGAAAAAAAACGAAAGGGCGGATATTGTTATTTTCTCTCTCAACCCAAATCAAACGGGGTTGGGGGTTGAAGTGAAAAAAAAAAAACAAAAAGAGGGCGAACACGAGGAGGCCAAGGGTATGTTGTGAGATATACTAGAAAGAAAAGTAGGTGCAAGGCGCAGGAGACGGTGGAGGAGAACAACACGCGGGGTAGCGTGCAAACTTCCAAGCACACACCGCCACCCATAAGTAAGTTCGCTTTCATTGGCTCACCGCAACAGACATGCAAATCCTAACCAGAACCGCCGCGGCGCACAGTCACAGCGGCGGCAGCCAGTATTATATTGTTTATAACCGCCGCCCAGAGTGCCAGTCACCGAGCCACTCCGCTCTTGTGTACACCGCCATATTACTGACTTATGACTTTGTTGTGCTTGCCGGTGATCGCCTAAGAAAAAAAACTTCATCTATGCCTGCCGCGCAATGACCGCCGCCGCGGACAGCGTGTGTGTTTTTTGCCCGTCGTCGGTGGTCCATCGGTGCTGCTGAGACTCCGAAACATGTACGGACACGGTGCGAGTTAGAGAAAAATCTTAAAAAAAAAATAAAACCAACAATGATCGGTGGGTCGGGAAAAAGAGGCTCGGGCGCCGGAAGACAGCCGGCCGCTTCTTCAACGTCTTCGGCCGCCGTCGCCGCCGCGACCGTAGCGTCGGCGGCGACCGCGGCTTCGGGCGAAGACAAAGGCGCGTCGCAGACCAAGAGTGACGACGCCAAAGGTAAGAAAACCCATTGCTAAATAGTCGTAACCTCAATTATTTCTGGTGTCTATCGAGATTCAATTAAGTAGCTTAAAATTAATAAAAAAAAAAACAAGAGCATGCGGGGTAACGGAAAGAATTGCAAAGTATTATAAAATTAACGGTTTTCTACTAATCACTTGGGAGCAGTTTCAATCTTAAAATTGAATTCCCTCAAAACTTGGCCAAAAAAAAAAAGTGCTAATTACTGAACTAATAATTAAAACAGTGACATAAAACACACCATCCAACGAGGCCTTTGAGGGACTAGCTAGGGAGAGGCATTGTCTATTGGTGTGACCAGAAGGGAGCTGAAGCAATATTCACACCTATTAGGGATTAACTTGTATACTGATAGTCTACAAACTGTGACTTTAGCTAAAACTTGCTGGCTGTGTTTCCACTACAGATTAAGATCAAAGACCACGTGTGACGTGCATAGATTTAAGCGGGTTTTGGCGTCGATGCAAAGTCGAATAAGAAATAATAATTACATTTGATAAAAAAAATCACAATACAATATAATTTTTGTACTTACATAGGTTAAGATAATACCACACAGTCCGATTAAACTTTACCTACAGTATTTTGTTGTAACAAAACATTATTAACATGAATACTGTAACAGTTATTATGCAAACTGGAATTTACTTTACATATTTTGTTTCACTGGATGTACTTAGCTAATGATTATGATGTACAACTGAAATGAACTATTATCATAAAAAAAAAAAATGATTTATTGCATTTATTGATGGTGTGCATGTATTATGTTATGTTAAAATGCTTGACATTTTTGGGGCTTGGTGTGTATTTTAATATTATGTCATCGAATTCAAGAATTTGATAACTTCCTAGCTTCGCCCCCGAAGACCTTGAACAATAATTAAACACTACTACTGTGCCGGCGTTTACAATATTGTGTTACATAGCAATTCCTGTAAAGCAAATTTCCATCATAGAAACAAAAAATATGTAGGTAGATAACAAGAGAATTTTCTACAATTCACATTTTTCGAAAGTAACATAATATTATTACAGTCGAAGTCGAATGCCATATTTTTAGTTGTCATCTCACCCTTCAAAACTAATTTGAACATAATTGTTAACGATGAGCGCAAACGATAGCGTGCAAGACATTAATTCAAAACCATCAAATAACACATTTAATTTTTATCACCACATTTAACACGTTCATTAATAGTTAAGCGTATCGTTTAATATTTATCGGTCCTATTAGACTTTACATAAAAATAAAAATATTTGTATTTGTGCCACAGACCGCTAAGTGCATTAAAAATTACACCACAGGATTAAAAAGTGTCAAATGCATTCGTTCTAAATATACTAGACGGTTTATTTTGGAATAACTGTCGCAGCGTTCATGGTTTATAACAATATACTATTTTGTTGTTTAAATTACATATATTTTTAGCCACTGTGAAAAAAAACTGTCTTTTTTAAGTTTATTTCTTTTTCACCTTAACTCTTTGAGGCAAAGCGGGACGAAAAGTAACCCACCATTTTAAATGTAGATATTTTACTTCTTTTAATAAACCATGACGTATTGCTGTCTCTATTGTTTAATATTTTACACCCTTGTTTATCATCGGCTTAAAAGAACAAATCGATTATGTTTAATTTAATCTATGAAATGACAAATTCGGTTATCCGGTGTCATTCGTATCGACAGGAAATGTGTCACACTAACACATCTTAGAACTGACCATACTAATATTCGTCACCAAATTTTCAAAAATATTACTATCCACACAAAATAATTGCAGTTGACGAGTCTATGATTAAATTCAAAGGGCGGTATCATCTTTAAAGCAATACATGCCTAAAAACCATTAAAAAGAGGCTAAAGGTATGGTCGTCAGTTGATAAACATGGTTATCTTTGGAATTTCGATTTATGCACTGGTAAAATAGGGAGACTCTGTTGAAACTATTTGAAGTATAAATTTTAAAAAGTTTTGATTTATTTTGTTTTATTTCAGCGTAAAAGGAACGAACCAACATAATATTTGATAATTATGCACAGCGGGACATTTTTTAACCAACCTCTTTTTTATAAATTAAAAATCAATTTTTTTAGTTTTTAATTTTTCAACATTTATTCATAAGTAATAAAAATTATTTTATTATAAAAAAATAAAAAATAAAGTTTGTGTGCAACTAGGGTTTTTTCATTTATTAAAATCTCGTGCCTCAAAGAGTTAAGGCTTTGTTAAATGCACAGTTTGAAGTTTGAATCAGTGGAATTTCGGCTGAACACAATAACAATGAGATTTTAAATGCTACAAATTTAATTTTTAGGATAATATACATTCATATAACCTTATGTTTGAATATATCTAGACATGTTACCATGATGGTAATACTACCATTCAATGACATTAGCTCTCAATTAATCCATTAGCGCCTTAACTATTGAATTTTTTGTAAATCTGAGCCCACCAGTCGTTTTCCAAGCGTTACCAAGTATTCGATTCGGCTATAAAATGAAAAATCCGTCAGAAATTCAGAAGGTTAAGGAACTAATCTATCCTTAACTAAGGTTAAGAAGGTAATTCAGAAACTTAATGTAAATTTAACGGTATACTATAATGCCACAAATCCATCCAGTCTGATCCTATGTCATACATTTCCGGGGCACAGCAAAACCCTCGAATACCAAAACTTTTCAGGTGTTCCAGTTGATCGGCTTGCGACTAATAACCTCTGACCCGATAATAAAAAAGTACACAAACCTAAAAATACCTATACTTAAAAATTATCTAAGTCTCACTACGCAAATTTCTATTCAATCTACAAAGCTCTCGTTCTAATTTCCAACAATAAATCGAATCATTTTCTCATACATTTTTTTGAAGTTTCTTTTTTTTTTTGTCATCTGTCCAACGAATTCACACCGAATGGACAAAATAGCTTTGATTTGCTTCTAAATATATTATCCGATCAAGTTCAAATTTTGGTATTTTCTTGGGCTGGATACAAGCAATTTCATGTCGCCATTTTCGCGTTACACTTTCACTTTGAGATAAGAGATAAGATAAGCATTGCGGTTTAGTCACCTTGCAGCAACGACGTCTGTACTTAGACGTGGCATTTGTCACAAAACTAATGAAAGGCGACATTGATTGCCCTGAATTCCTAGAAAAAATTTAATTTAAAGTTCCTGTTTTCAATACTAGCAATAATCTAACGTTTGTCCCCCCCCCTTTTCCAATCAAAACTATGTTTTATCTAGTCCGGAGTGCCGCATCATAAATAATTATAATTTGTATAGCGGTTTTGATTTTTGTTTCAATTCATTTTTTAAGCTAAGATTTTATATTTTTAATTTTTAATTTAATTCATAATTTGTATATATATATATATATCACTGTATTTTTACCCCTATGGGGTGTCACATTTAATAAATAAACAAATGATAAGAAATTATAGATAAGAGATAAGTGTTATCACTTTTCTGTTAAAAGAGGTAATGTTTCACCGTGGAGTGGAGAAAATAATTGGCTTTTTTTTTTATTGCCAAATTAAAGATAATATGTTGTATTATATTTTTATATTATTATCAAATATGTCACAATAATCGTCACATATTACAATTTTCACATGTAAACAGACGCTACTGCACCGCCTACAGTTCCCAGTCCGGGCGCGACCTTGAGAGACGGAGCTCAACGTATCCTGCAGTTAAGTCAACGGTCGGAATGGCCGCCGTTGGATCAGGCCATAAAGATGGTGGAGAAACTGGTGGCCGCTGGTGGCGAAGACGTGACGTCAACGCCTTTGGCCGGGGTCATCGATCAGGTAAGGCGAATTCCCTTAAATAATTGACCCAAATGCGAAAAAAAAATCACACTCAAACCGTGTCGGACGGTTTTTTTTTTTTTTATAACGACTTATAAAATCAAAAAAATGTGTGGGGTTGACGGTCAAGTCGAAAAATAAGGCGGGACACGAGAAACTAGCACAACCGGAAGACGGTCATGGTCCGGCGGCACGCGATCCCGCACAAAGGCCGTAACTTGAACTTAACACACACACCACCCACCCACCCACGCAGACATGTAAATACTGTTTAATGATTAAAGAAACGTGTCTAGGTGGCCTGAAAACTTCATTAGGGCACATTTTGTTCGGCCCCAATTTTTATTTTTTTCAGACTTTGTAACACAATTTATTAGGTATAACACGCTCTGCCGACCTTATCAAGCGAAATAAATACAAATTTTTCTTACTCTATTTTTTTGTTGTTTTTAAAACAAATTTTATTGTTATTATTAAATATGTCATCGAGTTATTCTACTGTTCTTGCTACGACAAACTGTCAAAAGTCAGATAATGGATTTTATTAAAAAAAAAATTGGTAAAAATAGTTTGGAAAAAACGCATTTTACTTCCTCGAGACAATTACAACATCTTTTTTTTCCCGGAAAGTAACTAAGAAGTAATTTTAATATCGTTAAAATCATTGTATATAGGCAAACAATATGCTTCTGTCTGTTTATAATAATAATTTGTCATCGTTGTTGAATAAATTCATGACAATTAACCATATACCATGAAAATATTTGTTTGATACCTATAACCTGATGGTTCACTCACACATAGCGACTTAGAAATTTACTTTGGTCGAAGTACATTGTTTCTTGATGTCTAGTTTCGATTAGACAACATGTATTTTGTATCCATTTTTAAAATTTTGATTATCAAAAACAAGTTTTTAAAAAAAAAATTATTAAATTAACGTTGTTAAACTTTTACTATAAAAATATAACACTTAAACTGTTCTTTTTTCGTGCCATTTCGTTTAAAACTTCAACGTTAACAAGAAGAGTTATCTACTTAGCAAACAGACTGCTTATGATTGGGCTTAGGGACTTATAGTGTTTGAATATGTAGGTATATATGTAGTTTTATTATGCATATTTTATGGATTTTCTTATGTAGGGATATTTGAGATTTTTAAATGAATGTTAATAATTTCAATCATAAAGAAAAAAACAATTTATAAGAAAAAGTAATCGTCGAAGATTTACATTTTAAAATATAAAAAAGTCACACAGTGTAATTTTCAAGAAACTCAGAACGACTCAGATTTAATGATGTAATTTTTACAAAAAAAAAATAAAAAGAGAATGATTTTTTTTATAAGAACAGTTGTTTTTTTTAAGTTGCAAAGTTAGGCATTTAAAAAAAATATATGTTAATTTGTTTCAAGATTTTACGGTAAATATTTTCAAATTTAGTTGTAGAATAATACAAGTTGTATTTTTAATTGATAGTTGATAATAATTAATTATTATTTATTAGTTATTACTTTTTATAATTAAAAATGAAATTGATCAAGATTTAATGGTAAATTTTTTTTTTTTAATGCTTATTATAATGTATATTTTAATGATTTTAGGAGCATATTTGTGTATTTTTTTTTGAGCTATAAGTCTCAAAGCCTACTTATGATATATTTATAAAAAATTTAAACTCGAACGGGGGGGGGGGGGGAGAAATGATTTATCATCTTGATCACATTCTGTATAAATACGCCACCGATACGTCAACTTTGAAAGACTCGAGAATAGATGCATTATTGTGGCGTACCGGCTTTGAGAAAAATATATTTAATTTTTTTTTTTGAAGTATTTGTGAAATTTTAACGAACGGGAATTAAAAAATACTTTACAATTTTTATTGTGTCTACTCAGGGTAATTTTCCGGTCATAACAACCCTCGTGCAAATCTAAGAAACGGCCGGTTTGTTTGCAAAATATGTTAAAACTCAAACTGTTGTAGTTTGATAAATGCTAACCTGACCAGTTCACCGTTGGGAGCTTTGACTCGAACACGCTATGACTAAGGCTAAGTAGCAGAGTTTGTGTGGTTCATGAATAGCGCACGTGTATGTTAAATGGTGTAGACACGCGATTCAATTCCATCATGCGAACTTAGGCAAAGCAACAAAATGGACACCAGAATGCTATTGAATTGTACTGGTCGACAATTTGAAGGAATCTTCTTTTCGACGCTGATTAAATAGCAATAAACGATAAATAATAGTGAAAAATAACTAAAGTCATTTTGACATTTCCATCTCAAAGAGCTATGTGTCAAGTCAGGTCTAAAAACATTGCAAGTGTCGATACAAGAAAGTCGACACGCAAATACCAGATGACGTTAATGCACATGATGACTGACCTCTTTTTAAACCTTTACTTAACAGTGAATAGTTATGTAACTAACATATGATGCGGAAAGGTCTCGATCTCTCTTTATTTTTACCTGACCTCGGGCAATGTCTAATTCATACCACTTACAAAGAAAAACATAGTATATCTTTCTATTACCAGTAATAAGTCTTAATCGTTTGTTGTTGTTTGTAGTTAAACTATTTTACAAACACTTTAATCGCGATTAATGGATATGTATAGAAGTACAATAATGAGGCAGAAAGATGTCAGATGAAAATTAGTAAAACTAAATCAATTTTTTTGGGCGCACATAAACTTGAAATTTGGCAAAAAAACAGTAGTGCTCCTATAGTACCTATACAATATAGTGATTTATTTGTTTTAAATAATTATATACATTTTTCTTTTTTCCAGAACAACGGGATGACGCCTTTAATGTACGCTGCCAAAGAAAGCAAAACAACGTTTTTGGAACGATTAATAGATCTGGGATGTGATGTTACAGTAAAAAACAATGTAAGTACAACCCCGGTTAATCTTAACCCTCCTAACGTTATGCGCATGATATTTTATAACTTATAAAATATCAATACAATAACTGTAAAAATTCAAACGAACCAACCATCGCCAACTCAATCGCCATCTTCGAGGGAGGGAAATGCCTAATGTTATAAATGTCAATAGTGTGCCGCCGCCGCGACGGTGAAGATTCATATAATTTTATTTATTTTTTAATATAAATTATACTTTCCGGTCACGCAATATATTGTTCGGTCGTTTGTCTTGTTTAACATATATTATTATTATTATTATTATTATTTGCGCTGCTCGATTCCGCCCGTTTTCGCTCATTTAGTTGATTGAAACATGCGACACACGCTGATTATTTTCCAGGATAACTTCAACGTCCTGCATCTGGCCGCCACCTATTCCAGAGAAGACGTCATTAAAGTGTTGTTGTCGAAAAAAGGAGTCGACGTTTACTGTCCCGGAGGAGTACGTGATTCGGCGGCGGTGTATTCTATACACCTGCTATAGAGTTGATGTACAGGGTGTCTCAAAAATAACGGTGGGGTTTCGAACGGCAGACGTTCGAAACTTGTCCAATGCTTTACAACCTACAGCCGTTTGAAACCCCACCGTTCCTTTTGGCACACCCTGTATTGTACAGGACGTGTAATCATTTTGTTTCTTTTTCTTTGGCTGCGACTTACAGCCAAAACAACAGACGGCCGTGCACATGGTGGCGAGCAGACAGACGGGCACGGCAACGAGCATACTCAGAGTGCTTCTGGCTTCTTGCGGCAAGGACATCCGGACCATCGCCGATGGAGTAAATGCATTGTGTACACGTGGGGTCATGTGGTAAACCGGTAGATAACAATGTGCCGTTTTTTTTGTTCCATGTGCGTTGCCCAGGACGGTAAAATACCACTGTTGCTGGCCGTGGAAGCGGGCAACCAGTCAATGTGCAGGGAGTTGCTGTCGACCCAGGCGGCGGAACAGTTGAAATACAAAACGAAATCCGGAGACATGGCCATACACTTGGCTGCCAAACGGAAAGACATGGACATGATCAAAATATTGATAGATTACGGCGCCGGTGTGGATAGTAAAAATGTAAAGTCGCAAAACACGGGTTAGGTGATTGGTCGTCTCGGGTGTCTGACTCGGTTACTTTTCCACACAGGGCCAAGGGCAAACGTCTCTGCACATCGCTGCGGCCGACGGAGATGAAAACTTAGTCAAGTACTTCTACAGTGTCCGAGCTAATGCTTCCATAACGGACAATCAAGGTAAATAATAATAATAAGTTTATTTTGCCAATATAAAATTTTCGGTACAACAAAAAAGTAATATAGTACAAAATAAGAATAAACTATATTGACTCACTTCTAAAAAGCTAAAAGCTTGTGCTAAGAAGTGAGGGTTTCTTATAACATAATAATATATAAACGAAATGACTTAAATTTAATAAACAACATATAGTCTTATTAAAAAGAGAAGAGAAAAAAAAAAAGAAAAGGAAAAATGTATAAATCATAATTAAGTGTAACATAATCAAACTGGTTAAGCTTAATATATAATTTTAAAGAGTTAATATTATTGAAGTTAAAAAGATTTAAATTTAATTTATGACACAACAATGTACATTTGTAAATAGGACTCTGAGAGGTTACAGTCTTATAGCATTTAATAGAATTAAGATTAGAATGACATTTATTTCTAGTATTATAATTATGCTCTATGGTATTCAAACAATGTCTATATTTATATACAAGTAAAAGCAAAGATTTATAATATAACATGGATATACGTTGTACATTAAAGTCAATGTATAACTGATTTGTTGGATATAGAAACGGCTTCGAGATAATAACTTTTATTAAACTATTAATAGTTGTATTTAAAGAAGTCAAATAATATTTATAGGTACCACCCCAAAAGGGCAATCCATAGTAAACTAAAGATTGAACTAATGACATATAAATAATTCTCAAGTGTTAAATATCTAAAATATATTTTATTAAGCTTTTAAAGTTATAAAATAATTGCCTGATAGTATTAACCAATCACAGACTTGTTTCGAATTTCTAAATATCTTCATTTGTTTTGCCACTGATTAGCTTTCTGTGTTTTATAACGCACAGTCCCATCCTCTATACATAGTGTCTATCGAAAACTGCCATCGCGACATCTGTGTTTTGTTTAGATCGAACCCCTATGCACTTGGCCGCAGAAAACGGTCATGCCAACATAATTGAACTGCTGACCGATAAGTTTCGGGCTTCCATACTGGAAAGAACTAAAGACGGCAGTACACTCATGCATATAGCCTCGTTAAACGGCCACACCGACTGTGCCATGATGTTGTTCAAGAAAGGCGTATACCTTCACATGCCCAACAAAAGTGGAGCGAGGAGCATACACACGGCGGCCAGATACGGTCACGTCGGTATCATCAATACGCTGTTGCAAAAGGGCGAAAAAGTGGACGTGACGACGAACGTTAGTAGAACCGAGTATACATTTGAATAGCGCCCCAATATACACCCCCAACGGTATTGTGTAATAATTGCGTGTCTTCGACATAATCTATTTCAGGACAACTACACTCCTCTGCATATAGCTGTAGAGTCTGTCAAGCCGGCGGTGATAGAGACTCTGCTGGGATACGGTGCTGACGTTCACGTGAGAGGTTCGTAGATCGCAGTGGACTGTCAAACTAGTCACCGAGTACCTATGATTTGTGCGTTCGTTTTATACTTACTTAGGTGGAAAACTGCGAGAAACTCCTCTCCACATAGCGGCCAGAGTAAAAGACGGGGACCGGTGCGCTCTTATGCTGTTGAAGTCTGGCGCAGGACCTAACGTGGCGACGGACGACGGCCAAACTCCAGTGCACGTGGCCGCAAAACACGGGAACCTCATAACCCTGCAGCTGTTGTTGGACGACGGTGGCGACGCTATGTTTAAAAACAAAGTAAAATAACTTTGACGGGCGTTTTGTACGTTTCCTCGCTCGCGTAACTCATTCCACTCGTGTGTTGGACAGGTGGGCGAAACGCCTTTACATCTGGCGTGCACGAGTTGTCAGGCGGACATTGTCGGACAGCTGATCGACTTTGTCAAAGTAAAACAAGGCGATGAGGTGGCAAATTCGTATGTAAACACTGTCAATGAAGACGGTGCTTCAGCGTTGCATTACGCCGCCAACATAACGAAGTCCGACGTGAACGCTTCCAAACCCAACCACGACGCTAAAGTCATAAAACTGTTGTTCGAAGGAAAAGCCGACATTAATTTGCGCACAAAACAAGTAAAATAGATACAGATTGTCAACGATGTACGACGATGTATACTAATAAACACTTATCTTTTTTTTTTCACAGCACCACGAAACAGCATTACATTATTGCGCAGTAGCTGGTAACAACGACGTACTCTCGGCAATGTTGGACGGCATGTCGCCATCTGAAGTCCAGCAAGCCATGAACCGTCAGACCAGTATCGGATGGACTCCTCTGTTAATCGCTTGCCACAGAGGTCACATGAGTTTGGTGAATACAATGTTGAATAACCACGCGAGAGTGGACGTATTCGACAACGAAGGCCGATCTGCTCTGCATTTGGCTGCCGAACGAGGATACTTAAAAGTAAACCACCAAACAAAAACTGTCTTCTCTCCGTTGGTCTTAAACAATCACATCATATGTATTTTAGGTTTGCGACGCTTTGCTCACTCACAAAGCTTTTATTAACAGCAAATCCCGGGTAGGATGGACCGCGTTGCATTTAGCCGCCATGAATGGATTCGCTGATCTCTGCCGGTATGTGGTCAATCAATATTGTTTAATTTAAAATACGCGCCTCTACTTTTCAATTTATTCACCTCAGATCAACCTACCACCCCTAACACTACGACTGGTGACTTTGCCGATGGCAAGGCGCTTCTAGCCATCCATTCCGACCCTGAAATAGCTTCAAACCTCGTACAAAACCATCTCAATCTCCTTTCAACATGGTACAAAGACTGGGGGATTAAAATCAACGAAACAAAATCTATTCATTGTACATTCACGCTAAAGCAAAAAGTCTGCCCTCCCATCTACCTCAACAATGTACCTCGCCAATTACGGTATCTCCTCACGTCACAACATCTCAACCTAAAAAACAAGCTCCTACTATATAAACTCCTACTCAAACCGATCTGGACATACGGTATCCAACTGTGGGGTGCAGCCAAACCGTCCAACCTAAATAAAATACAAGTCTTCCAATCAAAATGTCTACGCCAAATAACCAAAGCTCCTTACTATGTTTCTAACGACACTCTACATAGAGATCTAGCCATTTCAACAGTCCAAAACGTTGCAAAAACTTTCTACAAACGCACACACTCCAAATTCCGCAGCCATCGTAATCCCTTGATTTCCGAACTATCCACCAACGCAATTCCTGGTGACCCCAGAAGGCGACTTAAACGTACCTGGTGTCGTGACCTACTAAATTAATTACATACTAAACTAATTCAATCTCATTATCTCACAATAGCACATTAAAATAAACTCCTGCCCTTAAGTGCCTCCAATGGGTGGCTTCTTCTCTCCTGCCTCAAGCCATGTCTCCTCCATCACATACGCTTATTGTAAAAAAAAAAAAATATTAATTACAGATCGTGTATATTTTAATAATAAATGTTAAAAAAAAAAAAAAAATCTTAAATACACCTTTTGAAATGTATACTTGTCGATTTATTTAGATTTCTGATTCACGATCACAATGCTGTGATCGATATACTCACGCTGAGGAAACAAACCCCGTTGCATTTAGCCGCTTCGGCTGGTCAACTAGAAGTTTGCCGACTACTGTTAGATTTAGGAGCCAATATCGACGCGACAGACGACCAAGGCCAGAAGCCAATACACATAGCAGCGCAGAATAACTTCCCCGAAGTCGTCCAGTTATTCTTACAACAGCATCCGCAACTGGTTCTGGCGTGCACAAAAGTAGGCAAACGCTAAACTATATGGTTTTCTTCTTCCCATCGGTGTTTTTTTGACATTTTCACGTCTTAGCTCTGGCATATAACCGAAAAACTGTCCCAAAAACTTGTTACGCTGTTATCTGATAAGAGAGATTAGAGATAGGAGATTATAGATAAGAGATTAGGGATGGGGGTGGGGGTGGTTTGCTCTGGCACATAACCGAAAGAAGCGTTACGCTGTTATCTGATAAGAGGTTAGAGATAAGAGATATGTTGTATTCACGACAAAAATAAATTCAATGTAATTTAACAGGTCATATTCCCTATGAATTGTTTTAGGCCAGATATTATGCAAACACTAAAATATTAGCCAGAAACTTGATATGTTTACTAGCCATCTGAGATACTAGCTTGTTACTGCTTGTTGAAGGGACGTCGCACCTCAAAATAATAGCACCAAAATAGTACTTTTGTGTTTCCAATGGTATGAAGTCTACAATGCACGCAGGGATATAAATGATAAATTGTTTGAAAGATGAAAACTTTAACTATGCTTTGTTGGAATTCAATTTTAGAAATTCGATTTTAATTTTAAGATCGATTCAGATGTTTGAATAATTTAAAATATGCCCTTTCTTTATGCCATATTGTTCCATATCCAAACCAACTATCGAAAATTGGTTTCCAACAAAACGTAGAAAAAGTTCTCACCTACAATATTTATAATAAGGGTTTTCACTCTAAAACCACCCTGTAAGCCGTGTTTTGGGAATTAGAAAACTACGTTTAGATGAAAAAAATATTCAAAATCAATGACTGCGATAGTCCGAAAAATAAATTAACTGCCTAAAAAGAATTCTTATTGCTAATCTAATAATTACAAATTACAATTTAAGCTTTAAATTGAGATTTTGCAAAAAATTGCCCATACCCAACTCCTTAATAAATAGAGGTGCGACGCCCTCTTAACATACTATTTTATTATCTATACAATTCCACCACCACTCTAAATTTATTCGGTACTTCAACCGGACGTGAAAATGCTCTTTCGTGGTCGCGGACTCGGCTGAAAAATTGTTTTTTTTTTTTATTTTCTCACAGGACGGCAACACTTGCGCTCACATAGCGGCAATGCAAGGGTCGGTAAGAGTAATCGTGGAGCTGATGAAATTCGACAAAAACGGTGTGATCTCGGCCAGAAATCGCATCACCGAGGCTACTCCGCTTCAGCTGGCGGCCGAAGGTGGGCACGCCCAAGTAGTCAAAGTGTTGGTCAGAGCCGGCGCGTCGTGTTCGGACGAAAACAAAGTAAGTAATTAGTGCACGAATTCCGCAAAACAGCTAATAATAATATAATGTCGTTTGACTTAGGCGGGATTCACGGCTGTTCATCTGGCAGCACAGAACGGTCATCTGGCCGTGTTGGAAGTGCTCAGGTCGTCCCAGTCGCTGAGGATATCGAGCAAACGACTCGGAATGACTGCGCTCCATATGGCGGCGTATTGCGGTCAAACGGGTAAGTGACAAGTGTGTGTGTGTGTGTGCGTTCATTGTAGGTAAAAACCGAGTGGATCCCAGTTGAAATTTCATTTTTTTTTTTTTACACCCATTCCCCCCTCAGATACCGTACGGGAACTGTTGTCGCACATACCGGTGACTGTCAAGTCCGATCCACCGTCCGGGGTCAGCGTCTTGGGAGTGCTGGGCAACGAATCCGGGATGACACCTTTGCACTTTGCCGCTTACAGTGGCAACGAAAACGTGGTCCGGCTTTTGCTGAACTCGGCCGGCGTTCAAGTCGATGCCGCAACGGTCGAATGTGTAAGCTGTTGTTGTTTTTCTAAACAAAATTCAAATCGGGGGTCGAATGAAATACAGTTAACTTTTATTATAAAAAAAAAAAATGTAATTCAAACGCTGCCTATGGTTCTATCTATGATCAATTTAAAAGATGAAAATGCCATTTCTGTATTATGGAATTATGTACCTACAACCAAAACTAATTTATATAACGTTGGGTATTTAATTTGTTTATTTTCCCGGTAAGATAGTAAAATAGATAGTTGAATAGTTTTTTTTTTTTGGTGCTGAGCAGTCAAATGATCTTGCATTATAATTTAATTTTTTTTTGTACATATAACTTTTCGTTTAGAGGGAAAAAGTAAAAGTTTAACTTTTACTTATACATGTTGATGTATAAAACATATGCTTTTAGTGTTTTTATTATAATAGGAAATGTAACATATAACTTAATATTATAATTTTACTAAACTATATATATGCATTTAACATAAAAATATTTTGAAAATTTTAATTTCAAATGATGATATTATATGATGATATCAATTATTATCATATGATGATATCAATTTAATATAAGTATAATCAAAATTTCATAGTATAAGTGACACAATCAATTTTATGAAAAAGCGACCAAATATTTAACAATAATTATATGTATAACAATAATTATAAAAAAATGTTGTAATCTTAACGTTTTAAATGCTGCCATTATGATGAGATGGGTTCTGGACGAATTCACTATCCTTTACAAAACTTACTAACATAAAATTGTAATTCAATCTTACTAACAAACAAATTTAAGTTAAACTTACTAACAAAAAAAATTAATTTAATTTAACTAACAAAATATTTTCAATGGTTTCATTGCCAAGGTTGTATATATGATCGTTTTTTAAACATATTTTAAAGATGAAAATTCCCTTTCTACAGATACTCGAAATGCGGGGGAGTCATGTACCTACAACCAAAGATAATTTATACAACGTTGGGTATTTTATTTTTTTATTTTCCCAGTAAGACAAAGAGTTGAATAGTTTTTTTTTTGGTGCTGAGCAGTCAAATAATAACGATCTTGCATTATAATTGAATTTGTTTGTACATATAACTTTTCGTTTAGAGGGGAAAAGGTTTTAACTTAAAGTTTTTTTTGGCTAGAACTTTTATTTAACAGTTGAACTCATTTGCAAAATACCTGTTTCGATCCGTGGTTCAAAGCAATTCAAAGCAACACACTAACCAGCTTTTTTTTGCACACAATCCACATTTTTTAGGGCTACAATGCTCTTCATTTGGCATGTTTCGGCGGTCACGTCACCGTGGTCGGGTTGTTGCTGTCGAGGGCGGCAGACCTTTTGCACAGTTCGGACTTCAACGGCAAAACTTGTCTACACATCGCCGCCACTTACGGTCATTATGCGATGGTCGAAGTGTTGCTGGGTCAAGGAGCCGAGATCAACGCCACCGATAAGGTAACGTGGTGACACGGTGGGGGTTAATTAATGCAGCGTAGGTTCAATAATAATAATAATATCGAGTTCTCGACAAAATATCACAGAACGGATGGACTGCCATGCATTGTGCTGCTCGGGCCGGATACTTGGACGTGGTCCGGCTGTTGGTGGAATCCGGTGCTTCGCCCAGGGCGGAAACCAACTACGGGGCTTCGCCCATATGGTTTGCGGCTCAGGAAGGCCATAACGACGTGCTGGAGTATTTAATGACCAAAGAGCACGACACGTACGGTCTAATGGACGACAGGAGGGTACGCTAATAGGATTTTTCCTCGTAAACGCCACCACCACCGACCGATCGATGCCAATATATTTTCATTGCCGTTTTTCAGTTCGTTTACAATCTAATGATCTGCAGTAAAAATCACAACAACAAACCCATCGAGGAATTTATCCTAGTTTCTCCGGCGCCCGTGGACACTGCGGCCAAACTTTCCAGTATTTTCATAAACCTATCGAATAAGGTACACGCGCCATCGTCGTCGTCGTCGTTATTGTTGTGGTTTACGGTGCAATAACGAAATTTTCGTTTGTTTCCCTCGGAAAATCTAGGAAAAAGAGAGAGCAAAAGACTTGATATCTGCGGGAAAGCAATGCGAGACCATGGCCACCGAGTTGCTGGCGTTGGCCGCGGGTCAAGACTCGGCAGGGCGCATCCTGACGGCTTCTGATCGCCGGAATACCGAATTTCTGGACATTCTCATCGAGAACGAGCAAAAAGAAGTGATCGCCCATACCGTTGTCCAAAGGTATTTACAGGTTAGTTATCAGTGCATCATAGAGCTGTCCACCAATAGCACACGCACAAACATAACCTAACCGTGTGTGCGGATTTGACAGGAACTCTGGCAAGGAAGACTGAACTGGGCCGGGTGGAAAACCCTGTTGATGTTTCTGGGCTTTATCACGTGCCCTCCGCTGTGGGTGGTGTTCACGTTACCGTTGTGGCACAATTACAACAAAGTGCCCATAATTAAGTTCATGTCGTACTTGACTTCGCACGTGTACTTGATGCTTCTACTGCAAATGGTCGCCATCACGCCGTACTACAGGGCGGCGCGACACAACCTGTTTCCGTATTGGTACGAATGGTTGCTTCTGGTAAGTAACCCGTCGCCGACTTCCAAACGCTTGCTGTATTACACATACTGAAGGCGGCAAAACTCGGTTTTGCGAATAGGTTTGGTTAAGCGGTCTGTTGCTGTTCGAGTTGACCAACCCGAGTGACAAGAGCGGACTGGGATGGGTCAAGCTGGCCGTGCTCTTGTTGAGCGTCATAGGGGTGGCGTTTCATTTGGTCGGATTTTTCGGTCTCATCTCTCAATCGTATCTTCCCACCGTCATGTACTTAAGGAACCAAATGTTCGCCGTATCGTTCCTGTTGGCCTGCGTTCAAATATTGGACTTCCTGTCGTTCCACCATTTGTTCGGGCCTTGGGCCATCATCATTGGCGACCTGATGAAAGACTTGGCAAGGTTTCTAGTGGTGCTCAGTATTTTCGTGTTTGGCTTTTCGATGCAGGTCGTGGCGATGAACCATCCCATCGAGAAGAAACTAAACACAAAGGCCAGTTCCACGCCATTTTCCGAGGGTAAGTCGCTTGTAGCATAGCGACGACGCTATTATTTTGTAATTTAAACGTGTTTCAGTGTACATGAGTCCGGTGGATGCGTTTGAGCAACTCTTCTTCGCCGTGTTCGGTATGGTCACCTACGAAAATCTCAGGAAAATCCCGGAAGACAAACAAGCCCCTTGGACTACGTACATGTTCAAAGGCATACTCGGTATTTACATGTTGGTATCGGTGGTCGTCTTGATCAATCTACTTATTGCTATGATGAGCGACACTTACCAAAGAATTCAGGTTCGGTTTGGGTTGGGGGGGGGGGTTCATTTTTTTGTAACGCAAAATTAACCTCTATATTAAATTTGACAACTTGTTTAAAGGCGCAATCCGATATCGAATGGAAGTTCGGATTAGCCAAATTGATTCGAAACATGCACAGGACAACTACTACGCCATCGCCGCTGAATTTGGTCACCACTTGGTTTATGTATTTACTGGAAGTGTGCAAAAAAAGAGGTAATATTGCCAGATCTCAAATATTGTATTATGAATACATAGCTAACCCCAACTGTGTTTAAAACACGCATCGAATGCGCAGTCAAACAGAAAAAACGGCCAAGTCTATCACAGATGGTCGATTTGAAAACAAAAGGACGAATGAGTGCCCGCACTCGAATGGGAAACAAGTGGTTGTCCAAAGTCAAGAAAGCTCAAGTAGTGCCAAGAGGTAAAAACTTAGTAAATGACTAAAAAAAATTGTTTTTTTTTTTTTTTAATACATACAAACTCTTAGTCGTCGTACCGTTAAAGTCGAGTTGTCCATTCCAAGTCTGTGGATCTTTTTCTATAATATTATGTCACAACGAACGACCGCATCGATACGATATATCTGCACCGCATCGTTTAAATGCCATTTTCTTTCCAGACTTTAGAAATTATTTTCTTCTGTGAAATAGGCATTTTTTTTTTAAATTAATTATTAATAAAAAAAAAATATATTTATACTATTATTGACAATATTTTTTCAGAGTCCATGTCGGTCAGCGTCGTACATTTGAGTCCGTACGGGTCTCAGGTGAGCTTCACCAATATGAGCAATCGTATCGAGACCGTTACGGACTGGGACTCGATTGCAAAAAAATATAGAGCGCTACAAGGGGCCAGCGAGAGCGACGAGAAAGACGACACCAAAGCGTCGAATGCTTCGATGGAACGTTTGACCAGAAGCAATAGCGAAGCGCCGTCGGATCCGCCTGCGATATCGGCCAACAACATCAATAACTTACCGTAAATCAAAATATACCTAGCTATGTGTTTACAACATCAACTTTAGCAAAATTATAAAATATAGTAATAATATAATTAATATATTGTACTAGTTAAAAAAAAAAAAAAAATACAAAGGTATTATTATTATAAGTTACCTCTACAATTTTTAAAATGTAAGTTTTGTATTTTGTTACTTTAAGAAAATGTAATATTCCACATAAATTTAAACAAAACCTTGTACAAAGTATAATTAAAAAATGTATACATATTATTTTGTGTTAAGCCGTAGGTACTACTTATAGATTTTTGTAAAAAAAAACAAATGAATTAGCAAATTTTTATACATAACACATTTGTAATTATTAAATAAATATATTTTTATTTTAGTTACAATTAATGTTGATAATAATTTCATAAACTAATAAGATCAAACATAATATTATATTCATCAAACAATAACGACTGAGACTGACTACGTCACTGAACGGTCGATATAGGTGCAGATAAAGACAGAAACTGAAAAATAAAATAAATAAATAAATAACAATATTGTAGTAAGATATAAAATTATGATTATATAAATTCAAACATTTCTTCTGAGAACATAACATGAAATAAAATATATATATTTTTTAAATTTCACTTTGGGCTACGTCTATGAAACTTAGAAGTCGATTTAATTTAAATTATTGATTATAATAGTGTACAAACAAGCCTTTCTATACACAAACCAAGAGCTGATGTCAAGTGAGATTTGTCCTTGATAAGTGTGAATTTACCTATTAGAAATAGAGCACAGTACGATTTCACAATTGTGTTAAAAAAAAATATATATAATTCAAAATGAATAAAAGGAGACGAAAATTAAAATATCGTACTTGACATTCGGGTAAAAATATTTGTAATTTAAAAAAAAAATAAAAATAGGTAGACGTCGTCTTATTGTCTCCTACGACGTTACGCTACTGAAAACCCAAGAACAATGTAACGATAAGTCATTGCTATACTTTACTTACTTTTGTTACAGTATTAAACGTGACATTCGCACTCTGGTGGTTGATATTATAAGGAAAAAATACGTCAAGTTCATATTTAGTTTTCTTCTTTGTGCCCAATGCCAAACAGTCTTCACCACAAGTTAAGTCGACTTCTTGCGAACAACTCTGCGAGTTAAAAAATAATAACAATCAATACAAATAGATAGTTTTAAATATATTTATGTATCAACGAGAGTTAACCTACAAAACTCTTTACGGGACTTTGAAAAGCAGATAAGCAGACACATAGTTACAACAAACTATCTAACAAAATGATTAAAAATGCGGCTATCTAACTGAACACATAAATACTGAAAAGCAAATAATGTTTGATTTCTTACCACGTCAGGCAGCCAAATATCGATAACTAACTTTTGTGGATCATTTTCGGGATAAACGTACATTTTATATTCCGGCTTGACGTGTACGTCTAATTCAGACTGCGATTGGACAGCATTTAGTTCTTGGATTAAAGGTTTCTTTCTGAAAGAAGACGGTCTAGGTGGTCGTTTTTGAATTCTATGCTGTTGTAGAGAGCCAATGCATTTTTTATTTTTTAGTATAATAGGATCTTAAAAAGAGCAAAAATATCTACAATTAAAAACTATACAACATAATATATACATTTAAACTAAAAAAAATCACATACTTTCTGAGCTTATTTCCATTTTGAATTTTTCTGCAATGCCTTCTAACGTGGCCGATACTATAAACGTCATAAACAATTCATTGCCTTGACATTTTTTGAAAAAATCCGAGTTGACCGCCACGTCGTACACTTTCACCGGATTGTTGGCTAGGAAAAAACGATTTACAATTTATAAGTGTAACAATAAAAAAAAATATTTGTTAAAACTCACATTTATCCACTTCGGCATGTTCAGTACCGATACTTAATGGAACACAATAACGCTCGGGATCTTTTGAATTAAGTACATCGATCAACTCTTCTTGGGTAATGTCTTCTGGTGGCGGAATTTCAGAGTGATGACACAGATTTATAAACACTTTAGACTTGTCGTCAATTTTAAACGTCTTCACGCAGATCCCTAATGTAAAACAAAACTTAAATATAACTAATCAAATATACATATTATATTAGATAGTTTACTTTTAAACTATACAATATCATGCATTAAACGAAAAAAGTATTTTAAGAAAAAAAATCTATATTTTACAAGTATTTATCAACTACAATCGAAAAAAATAAAAATGTTCTAATCATTCTGGGAATAGGATTTTTGATCATCTACATCTAAAGAACATACCGTACAAATTTGGAACTTGCAACGTAATTTTAAGTTAAAAAATATTTTATTTTTTTTTATGTTTCGGAAGGGAACGTTTGAATATTTTATATTTTGGCCTAATAAAGTATCAGCTCTTATGTATGATTTCTGATTTATAAACTTTTTACATGAAGAAATAATTTTAGCGGATTAGGAATTATTGTAAAACCACATCATACGTCTTATCACAAACTAAAACAAATTCATCCATGTCATTGGGCAATCGGCATACAGAAATATCGTTTTCATGATTAAGGTGTATAGATCTCTTGTAAAACAACAAATTACCTGGAGCCGGTTTTATGAGTTTACCAGCTTCGGGATTGAGATATCCACTGATGAACTCTTCAAACTCTTGTTCTTCGTTGCTCTAGGGGAAAAAAATGTTTAAAAATTGCTTCACTTTGAGTAGATAAATTATAATAAATTTAAATTGGCGTTTCTTGAGAAACATTGATTTACTTGGATTAGGAGATTTTTTTCAATGATCGATTCGTCAACATCTAAAAAGTTTTTGGACGTCATTGTAAATTGCTTGTAATTAATGATGTTAACACTTTCCTTAATTTTATTGTTAGGTCTTCATCAAATTCTCAAGTTTTAGTTCATAAATCACAACTATAATATAGGTAGGTACTAGGTAAATCTTAAATAAAAAAACAGCTATAAAATAATAATTAATAATGACTGAATATTGTCCGGTTAAATTATTGATAAGAAAAAATAAACAATGCAATGACAGTAGTGATAACGGACTGTGTATGTTATGTTGCATATCCATAATTTTCAAACGGAGTAAACTAATAAACATAATATAACATTCAAGTACTTTGCCTAACAATTATTAAGTGCAATAATACAATTTATTGTGTACTTAAATCCTGGAATTTCTATGACACACCTATTATAGATTTGATGTCCGTCTATGTTAATATTGTAACCCTCCAATTATTACCATGATAAAAGTCCAAACACCGAAAAAATATAAATACTATGAAAATGTTTATCATAAGGTTTGTTATTATTTTTAAAAAAAAATGTTAAAATCATATTTTGGCTTGAGATTAAATGTTGTTGAAATATTAGTTTAATTTAGAACACATTAGCAAAGTATTTGAAAATATCATTGTAATAACTAAATATTTTATAAATAATATTTATTTTAAATTTAATTCCCCGCCAAAAGTAATTTCAAAACATTAACACATTTTTTTATCACAAAATTAATATTTTTTGTTATATGGGAGTACTCGAGTCTGGCTGGAGTGTCGTGGGTGTGTTTAATATTATATTTTGAAAATCTCAAAGTTATTTACCATACTACTTGTAAATAATGTCTCGATCGTGGTCAACACATAATATTCGTTTGTTGTATTATATTATGTTTAAATTTAATTTGCTCATTATTCATTATTCGGATGGCGTACACGTTTCACATACATTTCAATTTGTTATTGCTCTTGCATTAAATTACCCAACCTATATAGCACACATACAATGAACACAGTAAGTTTACAAAGGTGTTTTTCAAATAAATAAATTAAACACAAAAATTATTGTGACTGAATAATAGTAAAGTAACGATTTATCATAAAACAGTATTGCCTTCTGTTTGAATGAGATAATTGGTACGGAAAACGTGTATACACTGTTTTCTCAAGTATTTTTTTTTCTCAATAAAATAGACTACGTACCGATTCGACAACGATTCAGTTACACTATAATTCAGTTACACTACAACGGGATAGGTCGCCATCTCATTGAAAGTCTTTGTAAATCAAACACAGACATCTGTTTTGTATTTGCCGAGTGTGTGTGTGTGTGTGTTGATGCTTGTTCAAAGCAAAACTTATCAGAAGTCGTCAAAAACCAAGCCATACCGTGACGTCATAGCATATGTAATGTAAGAAAATATCGTTTTGTTCCAAATCGTTATTATACTCACATCGTCCTCGTAACAACACAACGGTACACCGAGTGGAAAATGTTACCGTCGGCGGAAAGTGTAAAATATTTGTCAGGGTTGGTAACGGTGATTTGCGCTGTTCAATTTTCCAATTTCTTCCAAGTGCACTTGCAAGCTTACATTTCGGTCAATCCGTCTTTGATCGTCGGCGCGATCAACAAGTGTCGAATAACCGACAGACCAGTCCGTCTGGAAAAGGGCATGATAACTTATGAAACCGACGACGGCAACGGATTCGTGTACTCCAGGTCGCCGGCCAACACCGTCGGGGACTTAATGGCAAACATGTTCGAACACATGAAAACGCATCTCATAGGCCAGCTGAACCGCTACAGCGAGATGCACAAAACCGAGACGAGCAGCACTCCGGCTTCTCACGCTGTCGCGGTCAACAATATCCGAGACATGTTGCCCGGATGCCAATATATTCCCACCATATTGAACTATGTGTACAACAGCGACGTGGAGTTTGAACATTTGCTGAGCGCGTACTACGCACAGTGCGTTTTCAAAGACACGTGGTGCGACCACCACTTGGAGCACCGAATGAAAGTGACCGCTGTTGATTATTTGAAAAACCGTTTGGTCGGAATATTATTGAAACCGCAGCCAGTCGTGGATAGTGCCGCCGGCCGAGGAGAACCCGGGAAAATCGCCAATTGGAATGACTTTCTTCGGGAAATGCACAAACTCCTCCGGACGTCCGACAAACTGTGGGTCGAGCCCGAATGGCTGACGCTGAGGTTCGTGTTGCGGAACACCAGTGCGCCGTTGAGAACCCTGTTGGACAGCCACGTGCATTTGAACGACTTGTACTGGGACAAACCGATTAGGAAAATGAGCCTGAGGGCCGTGTACAACACGCAGATCTTGCAAGAGACAAACGGCAAGATCCTGTTGAACTTCTACGACACGGTGTTGCAGAAAATCGACTGGGTCGTCAACCGGCACTTGTACCGTCATCTGTTGATTGTTTATTGCAACATGGCCGCCGGTAAATCATCGTCCACCGCAGACTTGTACGGCCGTCTCAGGCCCCTGATGGGCAATTGCAACTGGAAGAAAATCGTCTGGTCGTACGAGAAAATACTGCCGTTGTACAAGAAAAGTTACGTGGACGTTTTCGGCAGACAACACGTCATAGAGTTCGCGAAAGACGACAACTGGAAAACGGATTTCGCCGAAGCCAGAAAAGTGTTTGCCGAAAGAAACGTCTTGGTGTCAAATCAGCTTCGCGCGGTGTCGAAACGTTTAAGAGTCGAATGGCACGACCCTTCGATCACCAGTGGCTTTGCTTACGACTACGACAGGACCAACAAATGGATCACGGATAACTGCAACCAAGCCGTTGACTTTGTAAACGAACTGTACAACATCACGGCGGAACACGTTAATGCAAATTCGTACTTCTTGGCTAGTTCTTTGCGAAACTACAGAAGCCGGGAAATTTCAAACGACGCTTCCAAAGACTTGCAGGACGACTCTAGCATTTTCTCGCAGAAGAATTGGTTGAAATCCAATTTGCTTTCCTTCAGAAAACGTAGACTACCTAAAGACGATTGACAATCTAAACCTAAACTCTATAGGCTTTTCATATAAACACTAACAAGTTGTAAAGTTTATCAATATTTTCTTATACGCATAAACCATGTGGTATACAAATATTTATTTTGTTTGTTTACTAACCATATACCATATACCGTGCTAACCAACATTTGTTTACAACCACATCTAGTGAGAAATCATATCGAAACTACTAGCTTCAAATTAATAAAATGTGCCCAAATTGTTGATTGATGTAAGTATACACTTGTATAGAACTATTTATCAAATGAAAAATATAGTAATATTTATACGAAACTGACATAAACGATTACTCTATCAATCTAAGTCGAGTCCTCATTATCGCTATTTATGCACACAAATAATAAATATTCATACGGTTTAACTGGTGTTTAACGCATTTTTTTATGCAAACATAAATATTTACCAGTATATAACCGACATCAAGACAAACCGGTCGAGTTATATTGGTAGACGATTAAAATACTTATGTATAATAATGTAACAAGGTTAAAACCGCTTTGAAAAATTAATATCGAAACAAAAGTATTTATTTTAACAAATTAACAAATTAGTTTAATCATATTAATAGATATTTGTAATAATTGTGATAGATTTAAATAAATATAAATATTCTGGTAACTTCTAAAGTGTACAAAGTGTTCTAAAGTATGTATTATTTTGATAATATATCATTGATATAGTGTAATAATATATTATACAGATAGGTCAACAATATCGCTTTTTCTGTTTGTCTGCTGACAAAATAATTACAACGATGAGCTCATCTAATTCTGTATTGTCATGTATTGTTCTGTATTGTAAACTTCTCGTAGAAATTTACATATTTTGCTACTCTCCGAAATCTATTTAAATCTAAAATACCGCTTTATAAAAGTTACCACCAGAGTACAAATCAATTCTCTCGGTTCTACAATCCCACCTAAAATGAGTACAACTGTGGCTGGAAGATGCAACATGCATAAAATAGATAATTACAATGATGAGCTCATCTAATGCTGTATTGTTGGTCGTTTGTTCAATTTTAATTGGGACAACGTGTAGGCCAATACCAGTTGAAAAAAAGTTTGACGTGCCTATAGTGTGCTATGGCGACGGCGTTGGGATGAACATTCCAATAGTAAGGAAGCCAGCCATCCTTACATTGGACGATTGTCAGCATGTACACTCAAAGAAGGTAAACACACAAGTAACGAACTTCTCGTAGAAATTTACATATTTTGCTACTCTCCGATATCTATTTAAATCTAAAATACCGCTTTACAAAAGTTACCACCAGAGTACAAATCAATTCTCTCGGTTCTACAATCCCACCTAAATTGAGTATAACTGTGGCTGGAAGATGCAACATGCATAAAATAGAGAGTAGGTGGTAAGCGGGTACACCTTCTTCTTGAATTTTATTCTTCTTGAATAGGCGCTGGCATTTTCAACAATATTTAATAAATATTGGGTAAAAGGGACATTCCAGGGGAAATCAACAGAACAATTTCCAAAAGTATATTTGCACAATTTTGACTGTCCGAAGTGCACGTTTGTGTGTTTAGCACATAATTTATACTTATTATTATTATTACTGATGAATTATAGTAGCACCATCTTTACACTTTAGTACACTTTAGTAGTTACCTTCTTACAAAGTATCATGGTAAAAGAGTGCCTCTCGTATTTTTTTTTTGCCACACCAACGTGCGGCGTGCTTGAAGCAAGACTTCTTTGATCGAACTCAGGTTTTACCCTTATACGTATAGCCAACATAATAGTGGCATGTCTTGTAGAACTTATTCGTCCAGACATACATTGTGTTCCGCACATACAATCTGGAAGTTCAGCAGCGGTCACAATAGGTTCATCTGACGCCTCTATCGAATCGCCAGTTGGAAAGCCATTTATTGTTCTGCTGACCTGCTAAACATTTGTTGAATACACTTACTAGTTCTGGTCGGTATAAATATTATATACATATATTTTTTTCTTAATTTGAAATATACGGTTTACACGAGTCAAGGACAAGTTAAGTACTCAAGTGATTTATAGACATTTAGAAATGATGTATGAAAATCCGCCCACTGACATGATGGTAGTTTTACGGGTTTTGATACTTACTTAAGATGAGAGAAGATCACATACTTGTTGTCGGGC